AAGGTAAATGTGAATGTAAAGCTACAGAAACCATATCCAATGTTAAGAAAGTGATTAGATAGTTTTCATGACTCAAGGCTACCAACTCTGGATATTGATGCCAAACTTTCTACTTTCTGGAATAAAGGGATGAAGAACATGAAAGGTTTTGTGTAGTCATTCTCCATGGGGGGCAATCAACCACTCCCACCCCCACCCCCCAGTGACGTTTGGTGATGCTCTGGGACCATTGATCTTCACAGTTGAGGTGAGGACACAGAGGGCTGGTTGTTGTTATTAAATGCCATCAAGTCGGTTATGATTTATAGGAGCTTGCATAGGGTTATAGACGCTGGAAAACAACCCGTGAGGAAAAGAATCTACAGGACACTTTCTCAAAACAAATAATTATCTGGAGTCCTGGTGTGGTGCTGTAGGATAAGCATTGGACTGCTAACTGAAAGGTTAGCAGTTCAAACTCACCAGCGGCTCCTCAGAAACCCTATACAGGGTCGCTATGAGTCAGAACCAACTTGATGGCACTTAACAGCAACAACAACAACAACTGTCAGTAGTGTGAAGATGGAGGTTCCCTTACCTTCATACCTTTGAATATATTTTAATATATTGCAAGCAAGTCTGGCTTACAAAAGTCTTAAAGGAAATAACTGTCACATAAGGATGGAGAAGTGCTCGAAAGAGATGGGTGAGCACAAATGTACTAAGATTCTTCACCTTGGTGCTGATGTTTGTATTTTTTCTTCTTTTTCAAAAATAATTGTTCATCTATTACTTTCCTCTTCCTGTAATACCATTTTTCCCACTGAACATCCAGTGACCTCTTCCTTCAGTTGTAGCTCAAGCTTCATCCCCAATGTTGACTTTCTTCAGGTAGATTCACCTCTTCCCTAAACTGGGCTCTCACAATATCCTGTAATTACACAGAGCACTGAATTTTGTATATTGTATTATGTTTGAGGTTTCTGAGGAGTCTTGGGTTAGGATCCAAGTGATAAATAAATGAGGAGTAAGATGGAAGGGTATAAAATATTACCTGATGACCAGTAAACTCAGGGTTCGTACATATAAGCTTAAATATGAGGCTTCCCAGTCTTACCTGAGCTTTCATAGAAACCTAGACAAGAACAGGCTTTCCTGTGGTGGGGAGAAGAGTCTCTTTCTAGAGAAGCAGCAGAGAATGCCAGCCTCCCACAAGGAAGCTATGAGAAGGTCATTCCTTTTAAATTTACTAGTCAGACTAGTGATTCGTCTCTTTAATGCAGAGTGGGGAATGGGGAAGAGAGTTCCTGAGTTTCACTGATTGAGCTCCATCAACATTGAAAAAAAACATTAAGAAATGGGAAAGATTCTCCCCCATCCTGTACCACTGCCACATTGTTAAGTGTGTAGTGTTCTGCCTCACAGTGACCTTGGGTAGCGTTTCTGACGAGCAGCTGGTGAATTTGAACTACTGTCTCAGTTCAAACTGACCTTGTGTTCCAGTACTTATCCTACAATGCCACACCAGGACTCTCAAGAATTGTTGTTGTTGTTAAGTGCTGTGGAGTTAGTTCTGACTCATAGCGACCTACATAGGGTTTCCTAGGAACAGCTGGTGGGTTTGAACTGTGGACCTTGTGGTTCATAGTGCAGTGCTGACCCTACAGCACTACACCCAGACTTCCCCATTGCCATAGATTGTAGCTTTTTGTTTGTCAACTTTATCACCTGTGCTATCCAATACAGTGGAGTCCAGGTGTGGCACTGTAGGTTAATGTGGCGGACTGCAAAGTCGGTTTGAACCACAAGGTCAACTGTTTAAGCTTGCCAGCTGCTCCTTAGACACCGTATACAGGGTCTCTATAGGTTGGAATAGACTCGACAGCACTTAACAACAACAACAACAACAACAACAAATCCAGTACAGTAGCCACAAGTCACATGTGGCTGCTTAAATTAAAACTGATTAAAGTTAACTGAAATTTAATTTATAATCTTTCATTCACACTAGTTACATATGAGTAGTAACTGTTGTGTTGGACAATGAAATGATGGAGAATTTCCATTATCACAAAAACACCTACCAATTGGTGCTGATATGAGCCTATTGTGAGCTATGAGTTTGACCTACTCATCACTTTTATCATCTGCAAAAGCAGTGTGGGGGGCATATTTGACTTCACAAGGAGAAAGGAAAATCAAACTCAAAACCACCCCAAGACAGATTCCTATAAAGGGGAGATCAGACATGTCGCCTCCCTACAACTTTCTTTATCCAGTTTTGACACCAGTCTTCCCCCATTCAGCACTCTGCTTCACATTTGGATTTGATAATCGATCGCAGTGGCCACACAGAACTCATAATACTCACAAGTGTGAATTTTTAGTAGCAAGTAAACAGAGTACAATTTGGGATAGGAAACAACTCAGGATGCAACAAGTTTCCAGTTAGGAACACCTCTTCTCTAAGATACTACATGCATGCCTTCCTCTGATCTGTGCCTGCTCAGCCATGTGGCTGCCTGGCCTCTGCCCAACTTGGGCAAGTGTTACAAGGTTCCTTTAGCTAGTCTGTAAATGTACAAAGGACACATTCTGCAAGTCAGTCTCCTTGACATGCACCCTCAGCTTTACTCAGTCCATGGGCCAAGCTGAAAGCAGTAGCTGCTCTTTGTCTCTGCTGCGGGCTGCCTCTGCCTCTGCTGTTGCTGCTTTTCTAGGTAGGGATCTCACAATCCACTAAGGCCTTTCTTTCTTCCTGGTCCCGGGATTGCCTGTTCTGCTGCTGAAATGGCTCCTTTTACACCTAGCACATAAGGAGCTCTGGTAGTGTAGTGGTTATGAATTGGGCTGTGAACCTTAAGGTCACCAGTTTGAAGCTACCAGCTGCTCTACTGGAGAAAGATGATGCTTTTTGCTCCCGTAAAGCTTTACAGCCTCAGAAACCCGCTTTACAGCCTCAGAAACCCTGTACAGGGTCGCTATGTGTCGGAATCGACTCGATAGCACTTAACAAGACACCTAGCACATGGTAAAGCCAACCAATCCAAGCCTTAGAGTACTTTATACCCTTTTTGCATGTTCTCACCCAAATAATCTGATGGGAATTAAGAATATTTTGCGTAGAAAATCCATATCAAGTAAATTCATCAGTGACCATAACAAAGCCTGATTTGGAGGCACTCAAAAATGTTTGTATGTTAGATTGAATACATGAAAGTAGAGTAGTACATTTTCATTCCTCAAACTTTTATGTCATAAAGATCATCCCATTTTAAAGCAGTGAGACATTAAAATGAAACACATGTGTATGCTTTTTTAAAACTCATTTTTATTTAGAAATAGCTATATGGAAATAATCATTTGTTTGCATATATTCAAAAGCAAAGGAAAAGAGTTTTGAACAATACTTTCTAGACTCTGTACACCATCTGGTGGTTGATATTGGGGGAGAGGACTAAGGAGAAACTATTTTAAACCCACCAGTCACTCCTAGAAACCCTATACAAGGTCTCTGTGGGTCGGAACCAACTGTATGGCACTTAACAAAAACAAAACCAGATTTGTTACTAGGAAAATGGATGATGTTTTATTTAAAAAATCATAAGACAGGGTAGTATGTTAACTTTCTCATTACACAAATAAAAAGTGACTGTTCTTAATGTCAGCTATTAATGAAAGGCAATTTTAAGAGTGAATAAAGTGTAAGAAAAATGATACTGAAATCTAAGGAAAAATCACCAACATCAGCCTAATGGATATAGCATGTAAGTCATGAAATCTGTCTCCAAAGCAGTGTGCAAAGTAATGTTGTTTTGCTCCCCAAATATGAATCCCCTCCTAAGCAGCAGAGAAGGACGGAGCCAGATGGTACTGTTCTCATTTTTCTGTTGTTGTACCTCCTGACCCAGCAGTACAATTTCTCCCACCTCTCCTTACAGAAATTACTTTTGCTCATTGCAGCGGTGAGCTCCATCTTGGGAATGGGCTTGGTGGCTGTGTTGGGGTCAGAATACTGACACACTAACTGTGATAATCTTTTTGCAGCTTTCCCATGCTCGTGAGTTGGTAGTTTATAAGTTCACAGATGCTGGTCTGGAGTTCAGTCCATGAAATGTTTGACCGGCCGAAGTCTAACTTACTGAAATAAGGGCATTAAAGCCTGAGGCTGTGCCTTAAAAGATAACTATGGCCCTCACTAAAAGTCAACCTGGTTTCCAATGAAGATCTCTAGACACAGTAGTTATTTCTTAGAAAAAGGCTGTATGATGAGAATACACAAGTCAATGAGAACAACAAAGTAATACAGAAAGACTGCTGAAATTAGCAGCTTTGTTATTTTGTTTCATGCTCAGTTTATGAGGGAGAATAATATTTTCCTCAAACAATTACAACGAACGAATTTGAAGATACGAGTATGTTTTTGTCAGGTGCCGTCGAGCTGATTCTGACTCTCAGAGACCCTGTGTACAACAGAAGAAACACTGCCCAGTCCTACACCATTTTCAAAACTGTTGTTTTGTTTGAACCCCTTGCTGCCACCAGGGTCAGTTCATCTCAGTGGGGTCTTCCGCTTTTTCGCTGACCCTCAGCTTTACCAAGCCTAATGTTCTTCTCCAGGGATTGTTTCCTCCTGATAATATGTCAGAAGTATGAAAGACGAAGTCTCACCATTCTGGCTTCTAAAAAGCACTCTGGTTGTGCTTCTTCCAACACAGATTTGTTTGCTCTTCTGGCAGTATGTGATACTTTTAATATTCTTCTCCAACATCATAATTCACCCTGAAAAAAAATGACATTAATGTAATACTGTTTTCAAGAAGCAGGATAAGAAGTGATATATTTATAATTACTGAGTTTATTGATGATTTATTATTCATTCTTAAGTCATGATGAATTTTAAGCTTGGATTAAACGTCCTCACAATGACCTCCCTGGGGATTGCTATTTGAAAAGGTTGAAATGTTTTGGTAAGTTACTCCTTTAAATTTATTTTTCCTGTTACTGTTTTTATTTTTCAGACCCACTATGAAAACGGGGAGTATATTATCAGGCAAGGCGCAAGAGGAGACACCTTTTTTATTATCAGCAAAGGAAAGGTAAGTTTTGGAGGCACAAGAAAGAGACTGATGCATGAGTGGAACCTGGGCTCCTCAGCACCCCGTGGAGGAGCACGTGTGCAGAGTTTTGCATGGCAGAGATTTTCTTCATCTTCTGACATTGATAGTGAAATATGTTAGAATGGATCTTCTGAAAGTGACTCAGAAGGAAGAAGAAATACAACTTTTGAAGAGCAATAAATGGTCTATGCGTTAGTTAGTAACTATGCTGCGTGATTGTAATGATTTCTATAATTTGTTGTTGTTGAGTGCCTTTGAGTCAATTTCAACTTATTACCATCCCATGTATCTGAGTAGAAACCACACAGGATTTTCTAGTATGCAGTCTCTGAGAGAATAGATTATATGTCATTTTAAAAGCTAAGGCAAAGGTCATTCAAACAATGCACTCATTAATAGCAGAACCAGGTGATAGTGCAGTATATCAGTTTTGAAATCTGGTGGCTCACATTGAATCCTGGTTATGAAACTTATTAGTTGGTGTCCTTAGGCAGTTTGCTTAGCATTCTGAAGGCAAAGGAAAGTATATGTCTACTGAAACCCCAAAACCAAGCCAAGTCCACTGCAGTGGAGTCAATTCCTACTCACAGTGACCTTATAGGACAGGCTAGTACTGTTGCCTAGAGTCTCCTGTAGAGTGGTTGGTGGATTAAAACTGCTGACCTTGTGGTAGCAGCCCAGCCCATAACCCACTACACCGGCAGGGCTCCTTAAATAACTATTGTTGGTGCGTGCCATCAGTCAGTTCCTACACATAGTGCCCTTTATAGGGTTTCCGAAGAGTGGCTGGTGTGCTTGAACTGCCAACTTTGTGTTTAAACTGACTTTGTAGTTCAGCGCATTAACCCACATGGCCACAACCTAATAACTGTGATAAATTATAGGGAAAAGAGGAAAGAAGGGGTAGTTGAGGGACATCAATAAAAAATAATAATTTATTCCTTACTATGTCATGTTGTTTTTTGTTTTAGCACATTTAACTATTTTAATTTCTCTTTAAAAGTTAAAAAAGAAAGGAAGGGAATTGTTAAATAGAGACTACCTAAATTAATATTTTAATGTTGTTGTTGTTGTTGTTATATGCCATGGAGTCAGTTCCGACTCATAGCGACCCTGTACAGGGTTTCTGAGGCTGTAAATCTTTACAGGAGCAGAAGGCTCACCTTTGTCCTGCAGAACAGCTGGTAGTTTCAAACTGCTGACCTTAAGGTTTGCAGCCCGATTCGTAACCACTATGCTACACACATATTTATGTGTGTGTGTGTGATTCAAAATTTTTGTGGACAAATTCATTTGTATTTATATATATCTATTTATTTACAGTATATATATAAAACCAAAAAACCAAACCAAAGCCACTGCCATTGAGTCGATTGCTACTCATAACAACTTTATAGAACAGGGTTTTGTTCTTGTTAAGTGCCTTAGAGTCAGTTTGAACTCAGAATGACCCTGTATAGGGTTTCCAAGGAGCACCTGGTGGGTTTGAACTGTTGACCTTGTGGTTCACAGTCCAGTGCTGATCCTACAGCACCACTTCTGGACAGGGTTGTTGTTGTGAAGTGCCGTTGAGTCAATTCTGACCCATAGCGATCCTGGATAGGGTTTCCGAGGAGCAGTTGGTGAGCTTGAACTTCTGACCTTAAGGTTCAAACGACTTTGCAGTCCAGCGTGTTAACCCACAGTGACACACCAGGACAGGGTTGTTGTTGTTGTGAAGTGCCATCGAGTCAGTTCCGACCCATAGCAATCCTGAACAGGGTTTCTGATGCTGTAAATCTTTACAGAAGCAGAAAGCCTCATCTTTCTCACGCGGAACTGGCAGTTTCGAATGCTGACCTTGTGGTTCACAGCCCGATTCATAATTTAGAACTACTGAAATATAAATAAATACATACATATGGAATCCTTGTGTGGCGCTGGATTGAAAAGTTGGTTTAAGCCACAAGGTGGATGGCTCAAGCTTAACAGTCACTCCTCGGAAACACTATACAGGGACACTGTGAGTCAGAACTGCCTCGACGGCACTTAACAACATATATGTGTGTGTGTATAGGAGGACTGGTGTGGTATTGTAGGCTAAGCACTGGACTGCTATCCTCAAGATTCAAATTCACCAGCTGCATCTGAAAAACCTTGTTTAGGGTTTCTATGAGTCCAACAAACGCAACAGCACTTTACAACTTTACATTAGAGCAGCAGTATATGTGTGTGTATATATATATCATTTTCTATTTATACGTATAATTAGAGTACGTATACTATAAATATGAACAACATATATGTGGATATGCGTATACACACATGTTATTGTTGTTGTTTTAACTTACCACCACTCACTTGTCTATGTGTTGTCCTGTGGTGGCTTGTGTGTTTCTGTGATGCTGAAAGCTATGACACGAGTATTTTCAATGTCAGCAGGTTTACCCATCATGCACAGGTTTCACTGGAACTTCCAGACTAAGGTAGACTAGGAAATAGGAGCCGCAGACCACTTCTGAATGGTTCGCCACTGATAACTTTATGAATAGCAGAGAAACATAGTCTGATATATTACCAAAACGTGAGCTCCTCCTTTTGGAAGGAACTAAATATATGACTGGGGAAGAGCTGTCTTCTCAAATTAGAGTTACTTTAATGATGTAGACAAAGCAGAGCTTTCATGACCTTCATTTTCTCATGGGGCACAACTCATAATGAGAAATAACAGCTGCCAAATATTCATTATTCATTGGAACATGGAAGGTAAGAAGTATGGATCTAGGAAAACTAGAAGTCATCAAAAATAAAATGGAATGCATGAAGATAATTATCTTGGGCATTAGTGAGCTGTAGGAGTCTTGGTGTGGCGCTGTAGGATAAGCACTGGACTACAAGGTCAGTTCAAACCAT